TCAGAGAGAGAGAGAGAGAGAGATGGGGGAATCTATGGAAAGGTGATGATATACGAGAATATTAATAAAGAGGGGGGAGGGGGAGGGCAAGTGGGAGGAAGCGAGGAAGGTTCTTGATAATTTCAGGGTTGAATTTTACTGCTGCTGCTGCTTTTTCTTACTTACATTACAACTCGAGTCTCTCTGCTCAATTAAAAGGAGAAAGAGGAAAGAGGAAAGAGGAAAGAGGAAAGAGGAAGCCCGCGGTTTCTAACAGTCGCCTACCGAGGTTGACGCGGAATCCAATGAAATGACTTGCTTGCCCTTGTTTCACTTGCCAAATTTCCATATCCAACTGGTTGGCTGCTTCTCAGTATTTCCCTCCCTTTGACAAAATGATCAATCATGCTCCAATATTCATGTGTTTCAAATTTTGGTTTATTGGTTTTATAGTAGTTTTATGTGATCATATCCATCATGCTCCGATATGATTATTATTTTTTTATCTTCTCCTCCTCTTATAGAAAGATGGTTGGACAGGAATTAATTTATTAATGTTGTGGATGGATACAGAAAAAATGTTGTTTCCCCACCGCAAGAGAAGCATACGATGATTATTATTTTTTTAAGTATAAGCAATAATCTAAATTATAAGATAAGAGGTTTCTCATACACACACATTATTACAGTATTACGAGAGTTCGAACTAAGAAGCATATGATTTTAAAACTTACAAAAAGTAATATTAATAAATCGGGTAATTGGAAGAAATTGATTATAAGAGCACTTCCAGCAGTGAGAATGTTGCCATGGCAAGGGGGGGCTACGGCTGACACTATTCACATGAATAGTGTTTGCCCTTGCAAAAAGTAAGTTGCACTTCCAGCAGTTGCCATGGCAAGGGGGGTATTATTCAATTTTTTGTTTTTTTCACAAATTTGTTTACCTAAACAATTAATTTGGACAATATTTTCGGATGAGATTTTCTGATAAAATATTCAGATAAGATTTTCGGTTTCAAATTTCAGATAAATTTTTTCAAATTTCGGATAAGATTTTGTTTACCTAAACAATTAATGCTTTGGTTGTGGTTAGTTTTTTTATGTATTGAATGTTTTGAATAAAAAAGAATTTTATTTAATAGTTTCTTTGGTAACTCAAAGAAAACCAATACTACTAATAAAATAAAATACATGAATTCCAACTAATTTTTAAAACAAAACATTAAAATACAATGAAATGAAAAGGCAAGCAAACTAACTTAAGGGTTTTCATCATTTAACCAATCCGTATTGGATGACAACAACACTTACACAACAAGACATCTTCCATGATGCTCCATGCCCCTCCGGTTTCTTGAGAAAAAGTCATAATGATAGAGAAAAATTAAACTTGAAAATGAAAACAATTTAGAGTAAAAAGTGAATAAAATATTGAATAGAAAATGAATAATAGTTGGAGAATGAGAAGATGCATGAGAATTTGTTCTTAAAACTGAAGAGTAGGTATTGGTATTTATAGAAAAAAAGTCAGTATTTTTTGGGATTTTTCATAATTTTTTGCCTTGAAAAATGCAAGGCCGTTGGATTGGATGACAAGGCGAAATCGGAAGGACGAGAGGCTGCCACGTCGCACATAGCCTTTGGGCAAAAAGCTGACGCGCGATTTTGAAAAATGCAAGGCCGTTGGATTGGATGACAAGGTGAAATCGGAAGGACGAGAAGCTGACGTTACACTGGCATCAGCGATGACGTCAGCCGCGCACTCGGGCTCCCTCCGCATTTAGGCCAGCCCAGGCACGTAGACCCCACTCTGCTCGGGCCAGCCTTCCTTGCTGGAAATTTGTTTTGGGCTCTCCCCCTAGCCCTAGCCCTAGGGGGTTGCTGGAACTGCTCTAAGACAACCCAACTGGTATTATATTAGGCTAGGTCTGGCTTCAAAGAGGAGAGAGAAAATAACGGGCTGGGTTGGGTTTTTAAAGAAAATTCAAAGCCCAAGTCCGACTCATGGGCTAGGCTTGAGAAAGCCCATCAGGCTGGATCAGACTAAACCCAAGGGGCCAGGGAGGGCTGAAATGGGCATACTTCACTCGAAAAGAAAAAGAAGAGGAGGAGAAAGAAACAATGTGTCATTCAAAAAGAGGCACTCAACTGCATTATAATTAGACCGTAACACATTTTAAGAAATAATTTTAAAAAATAATAAGTATCAAAAAAATATTTTTTTTAAAATGATGATATGAATAAATATGCAAATGCCTAGTGATGGGTTCAAGAAAAGCATGATTATATTTGGTGGTATATTATGTTTGGTGATATGGTTATGTTTGGTGATAATGATATGTTGTTCGTCTTATTCTTGATTTATATAATTGTTGTATTAATAATTGACACAAATTATGTGTTAATCATCCAATTATAAACTAGGAATGAGTAAAGAAAAGTAAATAAAATGAAACAAAACAAGAAACCCAAAATAAACACAAACAACAATTTCTATCACCCCTTTATCACCACTGTGTCACCATGTTAGCACCAATTTATCATGTTTTAGGTAGAGACGAATTATGAACTTCCTTTGTTTTTCAGTTTCGACAACTGTCCAGTTTTTGACCTATAACTTATCAACCGTTTATGAAAATTTAGTGTCTTTTATATGGTTGGATTCAGCTCAGAAAAATGAAGAACACAACGTGGACCAAATGTAAAAAAGGATACAAAATTGAGCAGAATTCAGTGGAAACGAATACAATGTTTCAAACAAGTAACATACACACAAAAATGAAAGAGGGGGGGTTTGTGATTCAAGTGATATAATCTTAATCCTAAACCCTTATTTATACATAATTATATATGTATGCGGGTCTAACATACCAGACTTTTGTGGACGGGCTGGGTCGGGCTTTCTTGGGCTTAATCGGGCAGGGCCTATGAGTTGGGCTGGGCTTCAGACACCCAAGCCCAAGCCCAACCTAGTCCAATGTTAGTTGAGCCATCCCAAAGCCCATAACGGGTTGGGCCGGGCTATTTCTCGAGAGGCCGGGTGGTCCCCATCAACCCATGAGCCCGCGGGCCAAATGATGAGGCCTGCTAAAATATGATATTAGGTTTGAATACTTTGGGTTGTTTTTTATTCTTCTCCATAAGGAGGTATATATAGGAGCTTACATATGAGGGTTTTGCAAGGAATTAGATATAGTAAAGAATTAAGAAAATATCTCCTAATTGTACAATGATTTATCACTCATATAAAAAATAGGAAAGTAAATCCTTAATTAATCAAGGAAGTAAATCTCTTTGACCTTGATTAATTAGGAGAATTATGTCAACACTCCTCCTCAAGTTGGTGCATATATGTCACTAATGCCCAACTTGATAAATGAGTCATGAAATACTCTTCCACAAACAGCTTTGGTTAAGATATCTGTCAGTTGATCTTCTGATTCACAATAATTCACAAACTCCGTGAGCCATTCTTCGATACTATGCTTCTGCACTAGATCGAGAAACCGTATTTTGCTTTTTACTCCGCTAAGTGACTAGGTTACCTCCCACAAATGTAAAGTAACCTGAAGTAGAGCGTCTATCTGTAATAGAATCAGTCCAATCAACATCTGTGTATCCAATAACTTCAAGATCTCCATTTTTTTAGAACATTAATCTTTTCCCAATAGCTGACTTTAAGTATCTTAAGATCCGATCAACTACATTCCTATGAGAAACATTGGGCGAATGTATAAACTGACTAACCACACTCACAACATATGCAATATCTGGTCTTGGAGCAAGTATGAAAAGTAGAACCTTTGGTGGTGGTGATAGAAGCAAAAGTTTGGGTAGCCAGGTCAGCAGGATTGACCGCATACTTCTGTGAGTCTGCAATAAGATGGAGAATCGTATAAGTTCTTGACATCGCAGCGGAAGTAAGATATAATATGAGAAGGTGAGGAAGGTGAAGTGAGAAATTTGATGTATGAATTTGATGTAGGAATTGGATTTAAGAGATATGTGTATAAGATTTGAGGGTATGTATTTATGGATTTGGATAAGCGAGGATTTGAGTACTTTAGATTTAAGGGATTTGGATTTGGGGAAAAAATATGAGGAATTTGATTTAGGGTTTTGGATTTGAATATGAGAAATTTGAGATAAGGGTTTAGAGACAAAACAACTTCTCTTCACTCCCCTTCTCCCTTGAAGAGAAGGGGTCGTCAGAGTAAAGAGATATGCAGTATCTTCTTGGGAATATGTCAAGGTGGGGATACATAATTAAACATATCATTTTCACTCCCCCTCCCCCCCTTGAAGAGGAGGGGAGGAGAGCACTTAATTTCAAGAAGAACGCAAGCACAGGTCATAAGAGAACCTGGCTCTGATACCATGCTAAAATATGATATTAGGTTTGAATACTTTGGGTTGTTCTTTATTCTTCTCCATAATGAGGTATATATAGGAGTTTACATATGAGGGTTTTACAAGGAATTAGATATAGTAAAGAGAATCAGAAAAGTATCTCCTAATTGTACGATAATTTATCACTTATATAAAAAATAAGAAAGTAAATCCTTAATTAATCAAGGAAATAAATCTCCTTGATTAATTAGGAGACTCACATCAACAAGGCCTAGCTGAAAGTGCCTACTTGATACTGAAAACTGGTGGGCTCAACTTGTCACCAAAAAGTATTTAAGGCTTAAATCTTTCATTGAACAAAAGAAATGCTCCAATCAGTCTCTGGCCTGGAAAGCTATCTTTGATACTAGACCTCTATTATTGAAGGGATTAAGTTGGTTGGTGATGGGAGTTATATCTATTTTTGGACCCATAATTGGGTTTTTCCCTTCCCACTAATCAACCTCATCCCCTTAAATCAAAGAACTTCTATTGGTTTTCAACTTAAAGTTTCTACTTTTATTTCTAATAACTTTTGGCTCAAGGATGCATTACCGACTATTCTTTCTCAAGATAATGTGAATCATATTCTTGCTAGTTCATATTCCTGTTTTTAGAATTACTGACAAAATGATTTGGGGACCTAGTCCCAATGGCTTGTTCTCAGTGAAAAGTGCTTATAAAACTCAAATGCAAGAGGTTAATCCTCACCCGAATACTCAATTGCTTAATGTTTTATGGAATCAGACTCTTCCTCCTAAGATCAAATTGTTTGGTTGGCTTCTTCTGCATGGCAAATTGCCAGTCAGACAAAGACTTAGCAGGTTCATTCCCAGTATTACTCTTCAATTTGCACTCTGTCGGAATCAACCTGAATCTATTAATCACTTGTTCATGCATTGCAATTTTGCTCAGCCAGTTTGGAATTGTATCCATGGTTCTATAGCTCCTATTCCTACTGTTGGGGATCACATTGCTTGGTTATCTTCTTTAAACACTACTGATAACCAACATGGTCCTAATGATTTTTGCAAAGGTCTCTTTATCCGCAGGAAGATCTGGGATGCTCGTAACAGCCTCATTTTTAAGGATATGGCACCTCATCGTGCGCGAGTTCTCTATTGCCAATCTCATTCACCTAGACTACTGGAAGGCGAATCAGAAGCTCAAGAAACCCAAACAGGTTGTTCCCCCTATCAAATCGAAGCCTCATCCCTCTGGTTGGATCAAGCTCAACTTCGATGGATCAATCAAAAATGGAGTTGCTACCACAAGCTTTTTTTTATTCAAAATGACAACCGCCCACACCCTTCTAAAAATATTGGAGTCAATTCCATTACTATGGCTGAATGCCTTGCTCTGAGAGATGGTCTAGCTCATGCAGTTCACCATGGATGGTGTAATATCATACTTGAATGTGACTCTAAAGTGATCATTGATGCTGCGAACAAGAAATGCTCTGCCCCCTGGAGTATTATGCAACTTCTCCAAGATGTCTCACACTTGGCCTCCGTTTGTAATTTGATTAAATTCCAGCATGCTTTCAGAGAGGCTAACTCGGTTGCTGATGCTTTAGCTTCCTTGGGTCACTCTCTAACCCCTTCCAAGCTTTGGGTCGATAGTTTCCCTCTTTCTGTTGTTAATTCCTTTTATCTTGACCTTTTCGGGTCTGGGTACCTCGTGGGTCTAGGTTTGTGTAATTTTCCTTTTGCCACATCCAAAAAAAAATAAAAATAAAACCTGGTATTATATCGGTTGAGTCGGTTGTGCTATGAGCTATAATAGAATGCGAGATCTCACTAGATAATGGGAGGGAGATATAGATAAATTTGCTATAAAAACACACAAAAGATAAGGTAAAAGGGCAAGCAAGAAAGCAAACTTGCCCAAGAAATGTTACTAATCTGGGTTGGCCCATATCGCATCAAAGAATGTTGGGATCCGTTTGTGCCTTTCAGCAACCAAGTAATGGTAGTGTGAGCTTGCCATATTCAAGCCCATTTAGAAAATGGAGTTTCACTAAAACACCTAAAATGGGGGTTGAAATTATA